GAACCAAGCTCAGAGAACCCCAAGGACTCCACAGTTCAACCCTGAGCTACACATATTTGCCTCCATTGCTAAATTATAAGGATTTGCTGATGTTTATAGATGGCAAACCTATTCTTAAGACTACAGCGCAGTTAAGTACAGAAATTATAAATTTGATCTGGTTTGCCTATGTACAAATAAAGGCACAATTTGGAAAGGATGTGAAACGAGGAGGTATAGGAGGGAATATGAATGAATCTGAAATAGAATTATGCAAAGATGACAAACATAATCACAAGAATTTATAAATTGCTGTTAAAATACGATATAGAAGCTGAACAAGTTAAAGAATGTAATATTGGATGGATACTAAATTTTGGGCACAGTATTGGCATGGATATTTGGGAAAAATGTGGACTAAAAATATTAAATTTACTCTGTGCGATAATTTAAGAGAATTTTTTTTATAACATGATATATAGATGGCATTTGACACCTGTGAAACTATCCAGAATGTATAAGAACATTTCAAGTAAATGTTGGAAATGTGGAAAGGAGGATGGAATCTATTATCATATGCGGTGGACTTGTGAAATGGCCAAAAAATTTTGGGCAGTGATCCATGGGACATTAGTGAAAAGAACAGGAATCCCTTTTCAGATGAAACCGGAAGGGTTTATGGAAGAAGAACTGAGTAAAAGGAATAGTGTCTTATTGTTGTGTATGATCACAAGATCCATGGAAAGAAATGGAAAAATAAAGAAGAATATATAAAATATATAAAATAAAGAAAAATAAAGAAGCTCCAAATGATGAAGACTGGATATCTAAAGTTATGGATTTGGCAGAGATGGCAAAACTGACGTGTCTAATGAGAGAGAAATCAACAGAGGCTTTTATTAAAGACTGGAATCCATTTATGAATTATATTATAAGAGTAGAGATAAATAGCTTGATGATAAAGTAGTTTATAGATTAAATAAGGAGAGATAACAGAAAATTTAAATAGTATTACAACAGTATAAAAGAATAAGAAATGGTTAATGGATCTGTGAGGAAAGTGAAGGGCAGAACTAGACTATATGTTTTTTAAGTTAGATGTTTAGTTTTGTATTTGCAGGTTTATGTTTCTGTATATGTTTCTGTATGTTTTATGTTTATTTTATGTGTAGAATTTTAATAAAATTTATGTATATGATCAACAGGTTGTGCTACCCATCTCACTTCTGATAAAGGTCATCCATCAGGGCAAACAAGACTGGTTTATTCTTATAAATTGATCTGAATCAGAGTAGAATATGCTCAGATTATTTCTTTATTTTGTATGTAATTAATGTATGCAATTTAGTACTGGATCAGGCCTACTTAGCTTCTGGAATCTGTGCCCTAGTAACCTCATGACAACATTATTATCACACACTTTATGTGGACTATTTTTGAAGATGGTTCAAAAGCTACAACTGGAACAGAATGCAGCTTTCTGGTGGTTTAGTGATATAGCTAAATGAGACAACATCATGCCAGTCCTTAAAGCACTGCTCCTGTTACTTTTAGTTATGGCCCAATTCACAATACAGACATTAGTCTGTAAAGTCAAAAATCGCTCAGAGCCAAAGGGTTTAAAACACTGCTTCCCTGCTCATGACCCACCAGTGGGCCTGGCTCACAGTAAAGTGGCTAACAGTAGAATCTTCTCATTTGCAGGCCACAGTTCTAGGACTGTCTCCTCAGAGGAATTATGGTTGGCCCCGTATTATGCTGTAAATATCAGTTGAAGACAGCAGCAACCATAGAGTGAGAGTCAAAGTCAGAAAGATAGAGCATTCTGATGCAAGCCCAACCTTTCTGAACATTCATGCGACATCAAGGAACATTCAGAAAGGGTGGGGCTTGTTTGCTGACACTATATCCACCATCTTGTTTATTTTGACAAACCCCTGCAGATACTGCTGGTCGAAAACATTCCTTTGAGTACTTACAGGGTAATTTCTGTTCCCAGATCAGACTGCTGATGTATCTGAACTCCATTCAAACCACTGTACACCCATTGCTTTAATGTCTTCCTTTGTGGGTGTTTATTTTATTGGTGAGTATTTTTTTCAAACTGCTTTTATAAAGTATAGTTTTTATACACTACTCTGGGATCCTTCTGGAGGAACAGTAACATAAAAATAAATAAACAAATACAATCTTCACATGGAGATTACTACCATCTGTGTTCTAACTATTATTCAGTTTGCATCATTG